TAGATTCGCAAAAAATTAGCTGCTGCTGAAGCAGTTGATGTACTATTCATGCTGACGAAGGTACATGCAGTGCTGACGGAGTTGGTGAAGGTACAGTATTTGGTGAAGAAGGCGCTTGTAACGGATCACCTGGCACCCCGACTGGGTACCTCCGTTGAAGGATGCTCCTAGCGCTTCCTGAGGACTCCAAGCACTGCAGCAGACACCACAATCACCGAACCAGAGAAGCGTATACCTTCTCTCAAGCATATGAATGCTGTAGACAGTTGAATAGGAACCATACGAATAGGTTTACTCTCCTAGCAGTCAAACTGGAACAGCATACAATAAATCCTTCCCCAATAATGAGACGACACTTCACTTTGAGGGTTAAAACAGGAACTCCCTGTACTGTCACATACAGTCTCTTTTATTCCCAATCCACAAACATAGTACAGCCCACAGGGCATTACAAAACAGCCAATCAATCCATAATCCAAAATTCACCCAGATCTGTTCAGTACTTTGGAAAATACAGTTTAATGCAGATTCTGCAGAACATATACAGGCTAAATAAAAAACAATCACTGTATAATGTGTCCCCTGCTGTATAGTCCAAAACCACTGCACGATGTCTCTGTGTAACAAATACTGGCGAGATGGCACCGTGTTGAAAAGTCCACACAGTGTCTGTGAGTTAAAATGGCCGCCATCCATTGTTCTCACCATGTGCTTCTGATACAGGAAATGGTGGCCACCCAGTAACTCCACAGTATGTCCCCAGATGGTTCTTAAAAGGGCCAGCAGCAGCACAACACAAATCCATTATTCCCAAATCATGTCTTTAAAGGGCAATACATCCCAGGGGCCATAGTCACATGGCAGGAGGCTGGCAACCAGGCTTCTCCAGTGCATAGTGGCGAGGTTGGTTCCGCCACAGCGCTGTTATTGGATGAGGTTCTATATTTGGTGAACGAGGTGCTTTTATTGGTGAAGGCGGTAGTATATTATGGGAAGAAATTCCTGGTCTTGGTGAAAGAGATACTAAATGTGAGGCAGGAGGTACTATTATTGATGAAGGAGGTGCTGGTGTTTGAGGTGCTATATTTGGTGAAGGGGTGCTATATTTTGGGAAGGAGGTAAATAACATTACTGAAGGAGATGCTATATGACAGGAAGGAGGTGCTGCTGTTGGTGAATGAGTTACTGGTGTTAGTGAAGGAGGTGCTATATTTGAGGAAGGAGGTGCTGTTGTTAGTGAAGGAGTTGCTAATATTGGTGTAGGAGGTACTGGTATTACTGAAGGAGGTGCTGCTATTTGTGAAGGAGGTGCTATATTTGAGGAAGGAGGTACTATAAATAGTGAAGGAGGTGTTGGTGTTAGTGGAGTTGTTATAAGATATAATGGAGGTGCTATGTGTGGTGAAGGAGGTCCTATAATTAGTGGAGGTGCTATATGTGGTAAAGGAGGTCCTATAATTAGTGGAGGTGCTAGATGTGGTGAAGGGGGCTATAATTAGTGAAGGAGGTGTTGATGTTAGTGGAGTTGTTATAAGATATAATGGAGGTGCTATGTGTGGTGAAGGAGGTCCTATAATTAGTGGAGGTGCTATATGTGGTTAAGGAGGTCCTATAATTAGTGGAGGTGCTAGACGTGGTGAAGGAGGTCCTATAAATAGTTGAGGTGCAATATGTGGTGAAGGGGGCTAAAATTAGTGAAGGAGGTGTTATAAGATATGATGGAGGTGCTATATGTGGTTAAGGAGGTCCTATAATTAGTGGAGGTGCTATATGTGGTGAAGGAGGTCCTATAATTAGTAGAGGTGCTATATGTGGTAAAGGAGGTCCTATAATTAGTGGAGGTGCTATATGTGGTGAAGGAGGTCCTATAATTAGTGGAGGTGCTATATGTGGTGAAGGAGGTCCTATAATTAGTGGAGGTGCTATATGTGGTGAAGGAGGTCCTATAATTAGTGGAGGTGCTATATGTGGTGAAGGAGGTCCTATAATTAGTGGAGGTGCTATATGTGGTTGTTAGTGTGGGTGCTGGTCTTAGTGAAGGAGATGTTATAATTACTGAAGGAGGTGCTGGTATTAGTAAAGGAGGAGGAGGTATAATTACTGAAGGGGGTGCTATTTTAGTAAAGGAGGAGGTTTTGTTACTGAAGGAGGTGCTATTTTTTTTATTTCAGACATTACCAGCTTCTTATATTCTTTCCTGCTTTGCATCTCAGGCATTGGTATATTAGTCATCATCAATGTTTTCTCTCTCCTCTTTTTCCTATTTAAATAACTTTAATTTATAAAAAAAAAATTATTATTAATTAACAAAGAGAAAGCTAAAACATGAAACAGACAAACACAACATTCATACATGATGATGAAACCCTCTTCCCTAGTCTCTCTGCATTGCTATTCATAGTACTAATATATGAGCTAGCATTTCTCTTTTCTTTTCCTTTTTTCTTTCCCTTTCTCTCCTTTTCTTTTCTCCCTTCCTTTCCTTCCTTCCTCTTTTCTTTTTTCCCCCTTTTTTTCTCTTCCTTTTTTTCTTTTCTCTTCCTTTCTTTACCTTCCCTCTTTCTTCCCTTTTCTTTTCCTCTTCCCCCCTCCCCTTTCTTTCCTTTTCCCCTTTTTCCCCGCTCTCTTCCCTTTTTCTTCCCTTCCTCCTCTATGTATATTAATCTACTGCCAACAGTTTTTTTAACCACTTATTTATGTGAAATAGATTTTTTTTCTTCAGATTTCTGTTCAAACCTCCCTCCATCCGAAAGTTGCGAAATTAGTAGGTTTTTTACTATGTCCCAGTTTGGTAGAGTTTTAGTTCTCCACCTTTTAGCTATGGAGATCTTTGCTGCTATTAATGCGTGAGTAAAAAAATTTGCAAATCTACATTATACTGATAAATATTTAGGTGTCATATAAACATTTCCGGGGCAAGGGGAAAATTAAATCCGGTTACCATTTCCATTTTAGACAAGAACACTTTCCAAAATTCTTTAAGTGGGGGGCAACTCCATCAAATATGTAGACAATCTCCCACTCCCCCTTCACATCTGCAGCATATATCTGTTTTACTCTGGTCTATTTTATTTAGACGGCTAGGAACCACATAGAGTCTTTTAATAATCTTAAAATGTAGTTCCACTAAATTTAGGCATTTAATACGCCTAGTAACTGTCAGCCATGCTCTATTCCAGTCCTGTTCATAATTTTTTTGTATTTTTAGATCTTTCTCCCATTTTTTTATCGCTGGAAACGTCAAGTCACCCTCTAGTTGTCTCAATACCAAATTACATTTCTTTTATACATTTTTCATGTCCTTTCCTTTCAATAAATTTCCTAATTTATTATTAAATTCCCATTTCTCTTTATTTAGAGTTTTATTCAGATAGCTTTTAATCCTTATGTTGCGGAGCTGCAATTTTATAATCCCAGGATCTCTGCTGGTAGAATGCAATAACCAAGTACAAAGCTGGAAGCAGGCAATATTCCCAAATCCTCCCAAGAATCAGACGAAACACAGTCTGAGAGTCAACTGCCACTTTATTCAAAAAGACTGATATTTAAAGCAGGTCACTCAACTGTCACTTTATTAAAAATAACTGATATTTAAAGCAGGTCACTCAACAGGGGTTTCCAAAGATGGGCAGCAGGGGTTTCGGTTGAGGGGACTGGAGGGAGACTACCGTTTCCAGGTCCTCCTCCCAACAGCCCCTGCTGTAACATACAGTAATGAAAACCACGAGGACATAAACCGTTACCTTTCAACTTCAAAATATACAACTTAGTCAGTTTTAATAGCAATGCTAACGTATGGGGAGGATTCGAACAGACATACACAGTACAGCATAAATTAAGCATAGCCGGAGACGCCACACTATACCGGCGCGCAGTACACAACAGAAAATAGGCACAACCATTCTATCTTAGGCAGTCCCAAGTGGCTAGGTTTGCCACAATGCTCCCCAAAACCAAGCCGGCATACACAGTCTGATCCCAACGGATCGGCTTGGGGATGTCCGGGGGAGTGCTCACAGATCATTTCTCAAGTTTTGTCTGTCTGGACAACCCATCGGCATTACCATTCTGTTTTCCATGGCGATAATGGATCGTGAAATCAAATGGCGCCAAACTCCAGCGCAACAGCCGGGCATTGTCTCCTGACACCCTGTGTAGCCACACCAACGGGTTGTGATCTGTGAGCAAGGAGAATGGTTGTCCATACAAATAAGGTTGTAACTTTTTGAGGGCCCACACCACGCCCAGGCATTCCTTCTCGATGGCGGCGTAGCCTACTTCCCTTGGTAGTAATTTTCTGCTTAAGTAAGCTACGGGATGTTCTCCGCCATCAGCTCCCACTTGGCTCAGTACTGCCCCCAATCCAAACATGGAAGCGTCTGTGTGAACAAGAAATCATTTAGTTGGATCAGGGGCAGTTAACACAGGAGCCTTAGTTAATGCAGTTTTTAGTTCATGGAATGCCTGTTCACACTCTGGGGCCCAGTTGACCTGTCGTGGCAAGTTTTTCTTGGTCAAGTCCGTCAGGGGTTTGGCTAGGGCGCTGTAATTGGGCACAAATTTTCTGTAGTAACCAGCGGTACCAAGGAACGCCAATACTTGTGTCTTTGTCCTGGGGGTAGGCCACTTAGCTACTGCCTCTATCTTGGCCGGTTCGGGCCTCTGCTGTCCGCATCCTACCCTGTGACCCAGGTACTGCACCTCTGCCATCCCTATGTGACACTTGCTAGGTTTTAGTGTCAGCCCTGCCTCTCCAATACGGTCAATGACTACACTAATATGTTTCAAATGATCTGCCCAGGTCTGGCTATAAATGGCTATATCATCTAAGTACGCACAGGCGTACTCTTGGAACCCATCCAGTAGCCGATCTACCATCCTCTGAAAGGTAGCCGGAGCGTTTTTCATCCCGAAAGGCATGACCCGAAATTGATACAGGCCAAACGGTGTGACAAACGCCGACTTGGGGATGGCCTCCTCGGCTAGTGGAATCTGCCAGTATCCCTTACACAGATCAATGGTAGTGAGATACTGGCCTCTTGCCATCCTATCTAGCAGCTCGTCTATACAGGGCATCGGGTAGGCGTCAGACACTGTTTTGTCATTGAGCCTCCGGTAGTCTACACAAAACCGCGTGGTGCTATCCTTCTTGGGTACTAGCACTACCGGTGATGCCCAGGGGCTATCTGAATGTTCGATAACCCCTAACTGCAACATTTCCTCAATTTCTTTCCTCATGTGCTCCCTTACTGCTTCAGGGATACGATACAGAGTCTGTCTCATAGGGAGCTGTCCTGGGGTCTCTACTCGGTGGGTAGCTAACAGAGTGTACCCTGGTAAATTGGAGAAGGTAGCACCTTTTGCTGCAATCAACTCCTGTACCTGGGCACGCTCCTGGAGACTTAGCCGCTCCCCCAGCTGCACACCTGTAGCGTTTTCTGCAGAATCTTCCTTTTCTAACATGTCTGGCAAGGGCAGATTCTCATAATCCTCAGTGGCTGGGGCACAGATGGCTGCTACCTCCTCTATTCTCTGGTGATAGGGTTTGAGCATGTTCACATGGAGCATGCGCCGTTTCCCTACCCCAGAGCACGGGCCGATCACATAAGTGGTGTCACATCTCTGTTCTACCACTTGGTATGGGCCCTGCCAGGTGGCCTGTAGCTTGTCTGTGTGGACAGGTTTCAAAATTAGAACTTTCTGTCCCACCTGAAAGCTACGGTCTCTGGCTCCCCTATCGTACCACCGGCGCTGTCGCCGCTGAGCCGCCCGGAGGTTCTCCCGTACGGTTTGGGTTAGAGCCTCCAAGCGGTCCCGGAACTCCAGCATGTATGGCACAATGGGGACTCCATCTGCACTGCTCCCCCCCTCCCAATGTTCTCTAATTAAGTCTAGGGGTCCCCTCACCCTTCTCCCAAACAATAACTCAAACGGAGAGAAGCCGGTAGATTCCCGTGGCACTTCTCGGTACGCAAAAAGCAGATGGGGTAAAAACCTCTCCCAGTCTTTATGGGACTCCCCAAATGTCCTGAGCATCTGCTTCAAGGTACCGTTAAAGCGCTCACACAACCCATTGGACTGCGGGTGATAGGCAGAATTTACAATTGGCTTAATGCCACATAACTTCCATAGCTGGTGGGTCACTTCGGCTGTAAATTGGGTCCCCCTATCCGAAATTATCTCTTGGGGAAATCCCATCCTGGAAAATATCTTCATCATAGCTTTGGCTACCGTTTCTGCTTGTATATTGGAAAGGGCTATAGCCTCCGGGTACCGGGTGGCATAAACTACAATGGTCAGAATATACCGCTTGCCGGAAGGGCTAGGCTTGGACAGTGGTCCTACTATATCCACTGCTACTCTGCTAAAGGGTTCTTCAATAAGGGGAAGGCGGCACAATTTCGCTTTGTGGCGGTCACCCCTTTTTCCCACTCTCTGACAAATGTCA